AATATTTCAGGCAATCAACTTCAAAAGCTGGTTTACAGAGAATTGACATTGTTAGAATTACCAAAAACTCAACTACAGACAGTGATGTCTTGGCCAACTATCAACTAATTGTATCCGAAGCAGACTGTGAATCATACAGTCATGTCCAAAAAGATGTTTTGCACAACATTGTAAGCTTATATATCAGAGTAGGGTCATTCTCCTATGCTAAAGATATTGTTCAGCAATATAAAGTCAAGGAAAAACAAAGGAAAGCAAGTCTCTACGAAAGGAAATAAGTAATAACAAAGAGTTGTTTCTCTGAAGTTTGCCGGGTTTCATAACCAGTTCCCCTTTACTAACTATGGTTAGACGATGCTTAACCGTCCTTTTTCACCAAAAATAAAAAAATGTATTGGTCACAATATAACAATTAACAAACTCGTCTACCCTACGTCTAAATAATATCGACAATATTTTAATCTTGAGCGATAATCTCCTAATTAAATCAAGGCTCTGAACTAGAACTGCTGCGGATTACTACAAAAAAAGCAATGTTGCATACAGCGTCAAAGTTATCCAGTTACTGAAGTGTTCTTGCTTCACTACACACATTGCATGGTCTAAAAAGCGTGTCACAGTTTTAATGGCACAGATGCAAAACTAAACTCAATCCAGTCTTTATCGCCTGCCTCAACCTATCCACTTTTTAGGAAATTTCAGTGTTACTTTTGCGTGAACAGTGGCGCCTACGAATAGATTTTTTTCTTCAGATTGGTTTTTGCCCTGATGATATTCGTTCTATTTTAAGATTGATTTAATTGAGAAACACATGTCAATAACAAATATGAACTCCTGTGGCAGAAAGTTAATCATTATATCATCAAAAGTGAGTCCAACGCCCTCCCAGCTATATGGGAAGCCAAAGGAGGTATTGTCCAGGCCTTCTCTTTTTCTTATTTACGACTCCATCATTGAATATCTCCTGTTTTAGGAAACCAAGCACGCAAAGCTTTCCTTAATGTTTTGTAGAAACCAACATACGTATATTTCGCACCAAAATGCCAATACGATCTGGCAAAGGACAAACATTTGCCTCATCAACTAAATTAAGGTCGCTTCAGCAACGGTTACAATCAAAATAAAATGGCCGACCTCACACAATGTAGCTTTGACCATCGTGGAGTCCACCTTCGTGATTGCACTGAATATTCTGTCCATGCTAGGAAACATCATGGTGTGTATATTCCTCGGAATATAATGATTTCAAACCTTATTGATTAGTGCTTTTCTCACTCACATCGATTTTTATTATAAGTTTTTGCTTTTTTCTTTCAAATAGTTTCGCAACGGGGGGGAGAAATGGTTACGAACAGCTTAACGTTTGCTACGTGAGATGCTGACCTTTTACGGTGTTCCGTTTGTTCGACTTTATGAACAAACAAACACGACCCTTCTGTAAGAGTTGCTAAATGCTTTTTCGTCTTACATTGTATATATAAAAACAATCCCATGGTGGAAGACGTAAGATTTCAACATTGGAGAATAGAATTTGAGTTATATCCTTTGCTATAACCGAGAATTTGAGTTATATCCTAAAGCTATAACCCACCCATTCATTTTCGCGCGACTGCATTATTGGCCACTCTACATCGCATGGTACAAAATCAAGGGGCAGTTATCAAGCAATAACCCGGCCCCTTCGCGTCAGCTCACGTCGATATTTGTCCTCCATTTATTTTTATCGAAGAGAAACACAGCCAGCGGAAATTGAAGGCAGCTCAAGAGTTTCACTTCCTGATCTTTATTACTTTACATGGAAGAAAAACGAATTCGTTTGGCAGAGTCCACTGTTATTAACATTAAAAAGCTGATTTCAAAAGTGCTGCCACGGAAAGTAAAAAAAAGGGTCAACAAAATTTTTCTGTCAACGTGCGATACGAAAATTAATGGGAAGTAGTCTAGGAGATAAATAAACATCCATCTTGTTGGCTAGTATGTCAGCTAATAATGTCCTTGGCTTCGCATTTAGACCAACTATTCATTTTCCGTTCAATACTAATTCAACCGCGAATATCATCAGCCCACATACCAGCTGCCTAAATGGGTTTTCTGCCTAAAGGATATTCTTCAGTTTTAGCAAGGGCATTTTCGATCATCATGTAATTATATCATGTGTTTCGACCAATTGCGCGTAAGCAAAAATATCTAATGGACTATGTCTTCCGAGATCAAACTGAAAACGTTAAAAGCATTGATTTTTAACATCCTTGCAGCTGCTTTTCTTTCGAATAGTTTAAAAATCCTGAATTGCTGCTCGACATTTTCACGTCAGTTGCTTCCTGAATAGGATTTGCGTATATACCGCCTTCTTCACAGAAAAGGCCCACATGCTAATAAGCATTAAGAGCACATAACAATTAGATCTACTTGGTTAAAGCAGATGTTATATTCAAAATGAGGCTTCGTTTTCTCCTTCGACTCCTTTGACTTTCTAAAAGTCTTACCAATATTTGGTTTGAACTAATAAACATCGGTATCTTCAGAATTGCGAAAAGATACTGACCAATATTTTATGTCAATTGAGGGAGTAGAAGAAAATTGAAATCAGCGGCAACAATTCTCGATCTTCGATCACGTAATACAGAGTTGACTTTGGCTCAGATAGGATGTTTTCTGTCAAAAGAGCTAGACGTAGAGATGTCATTCGTTCTTTTTCCTAGAACCAAATTACCTTGTTACCCCTATCGACACAGCACCACAGTTTCTTTAGAAACTTACCCCCTTTAGCCTTTTTTTATACAGTCTTGTTTCTCTTTATTCCTTTATACAATAACTTACCATCAACAAATTAACACGAAGCACTTTCTGCCACCTGACCATCTGTCGCAGAATGACCAACGTGATTACGTAAGTTGTTGTCAGTGCGCGTTATGCTATAACCCGAAAGGCGGACTTAGGAACAAACAAAGAGACTGAAAATTTCCCAGATAATCGTCAATCAGTTTTCATATAATTAAACGGCCCAGAAAATAAAAAAAATTATATTAACTAGCTAATTTTTTTAAGCGCTAAGGGAAGAACAAAATTAAATAATTCTCCCCGAGCGTTTTATCCAGTTCTTAGAGATATGATGCTTAATAGACTTATTCACCAAAAATGAGAAGATCAAAATTGTTTGCACCTGCTAATAAATTCAGTGGTTCTCAGTGTTTGGTGTTGGTCCATATTTGAAGATTAATTTGATTGAGAACGTGACACTTGGCAGGAAGTTAATCATTTTAAACATCACTGGTGAGTTAAACGCTCTTCCAGTAGTTCGAAAAGATTAAAGGAAGCATTGTCAATATTAGGCCTTATTTTTTTATTTACAACTACAATCAACACCTCTTGTTTTAGGAAACCAATTGCACGGAGATTTCCTCAACATTTGTTGAAACCAAAGCAACAGTCTTTCATTTCACACAAGCCCATTACGGACCAGCATATGATAAACATTCGTCTCATCAACTGAAATAATAGAAGAAAAGTATAAGTCGCAGCAACAACGTGATAACAATCCAAACAAAATGGCCGATCTGCCATCACGCAGTGTAGCTTTGACCATCGTGGAGTCCGGATTTATGATTGCACTGAATATTCTATCTCTAGGAGGCAACATTATGGTGTGTACAGCCGTGTACAGGAGTATAAGACTCCGAACTACCACTAACATTTACATCATCGCACTGGCTATCAGCGATCTTTTGAGCGCCATTTTTATCATGCCGTTTGCAGCAGGAGTGCTCATCTCAGGGAGATGGCCCTTTGGTAAAGTGTTTTGCCAGATAAACGCCTTTTTCAGCCTATTTGTTGTGTACGTTTCGCCTGTGACGATGGGTTTGACAGCAGTTAACAGATACATGAGAATATGCAAGTCAGATGTAGAGTACAAACGGTTCTTCTCCCCAAGAAAATCCCGCCTTGTGCTGGCCTTTGTGTGGGGCTTTATTGCCTGTTATATCCTGGGTCTTCGCTTGGCTGGTCTACAAGGTTTTCACTTTGTGCCTGAATATGCCTCGTGCTTGAACCAACATCTGATTGCATCTAGCAAAATAGTTCATTATTTTGTGGTCGTTGGCTTGTTTTTCCTCCTTCCCCTGGCGGTGACGATTTTCAGTTACAGAAAGGTCTCAAGAAAGATCAAGGAACACAACATCAGTTTAGCAATGACCCATCAAAGTCAAAGACGGGATGCCAATGTCAGCGTACATGAAATCCGAGTAAGCAGGTCTTTATTCGTCGTAGTATTTGCGTTTATGTTATGCTGGATTCCCGCTTGGGCCATCACCATCTTAACACGCTTTGTGGGAAAAGTACCTCGCAATGTTCAACTTTTGTGCGCTTATTTCGTAAATTTTTCCAGCACCATTAATCCTTTCATTTACACTGGAATGAATCCGTTGTTTAGGAGAGACTTTACAAGAATACTCCGCTGTGCACATTACAATAAAATTGGCAATGAATCTGGCTCGAATACCCAAAACAATCAACAGGGATCGAGTCAAAAAACTGTAGCCCTTGCTCAAAGCACCACAAAGCAACACACTATGTAAATTCTTTTAAAGCGCCAGTTTAGTGCTGGACGTAATCTTGAACAATCGACAGAAATAATCGTTAGGTGAAGAAATCGATTCTTAAGAACGGAGAAAAATCATACGCGTGATAAGTATACAGACTAAATTAAACACGCAGATTACTAAAAAGCATTGGGCTAGAGATATAAAGCGCGACTAAACTTGGTCAATTTGTTTAGACAGGGCTGAATTTTTGCTATAACAAAGGGGATCTTTCAATGGAGATCGTTTTTTGGACTGACTTCGTGGATTTTCGTAGGCATCGAATAGAGCGTAGGACATTTCGAAGAATTAGAGACTGGGTCGGGCAATATGACGGAGTAAACGTGTTTGTGTCAGCTCCGTGTTTTGAAGCTTTGCATGGCCACTTCTAACAAACGAAAAACGTGACGGTGTTCAAATATAGATTTGTAGCTAATACCAAAATTCGGGCCATGTACAATCATTTTTATAAATTCAAATTCAAGCATTGTTTTGCTTCCAAAACTGGAGTTTTTTGTAATCGTATTGTCTCTACGTGTTATGAGAATTGCAAGACCCTGTTTCTTAGTAGCTTATTTAACAGCTTTTGCTGGCTACGTTTTTAATTGTTTAGTTGTATATCGTTCTGTCTTTTTCCTTTTGTGTTCAACCTCAGAAATTAATGTGTTAATTGCTTATTGTACTATTGTGGGCGGCTTGCACAACACCTATGGCTTGATCTGCATGTGTAAAAGGGTTTTTCATAATATTAATCTCTCCGCTTACTTTATAAATTTTGGCACCGCTTTCATATTTTATGAAACGTAGCTTAAATCTCAAAATGTTAAAAGCAAAAAGCAAATCCCTCCAACTGCACAAAAAAGTTCAGGGAAAAATTTCCACAATTTCCGTTCGACTGGAAGAGAATATACTCCTTGCCTTTTACCGTCACAATTGAAACTAAAATTAGAGAATTCCAATATAAAGTATTAAATAACATAGTATTTACGAACGAAAGATTGTTTAGGTNACTTGAGTACATTAGACGCTCTGCACGGATCTTACGACTTGTGAATACATTGGACGATCCGTTCGATCCGTCCGTAAACCTTGATCTCATCAATCAAATTCTTGAAAGTTTAAAATGGAAGAGATTCTCAGAATGATTAATAACAACGAAGGGAATGGCTATCATTAATAGATACGGTGTGATATATGTAGCCTTAGAACGTAATTATGAGTTTTAGCGTTAAAAGTCAAATTTTCTTTAATGGGAATTTTATGTACCATTATTATCTGTTGATGTCTTCTGAGTCTGCGTGATTCAGCAGAAAAAGTCAAAGAGTAGACTTATCGCCATTACACAAAAGAATCCTCGGAAACGTTTCAAACTTTCTTAATTGCTACTTTCCGTTTATGCAACAATTTCTTTTTTCATTGTAATTACTCTAATCGCGCACTTACTGTCATTAGTCCGTGAAAGCCCTTTTTCCAAGTTGTACCGTCTCTACAGTGAGTCATAATCTCTCCCAGCTGTTCGAATTAGTCAGGGCATTGTTAGCATCAAGGCTTTCTTTCTTCTTTACCAATCCATTCATGCAAGTTGTCTTTTGTTTTGAGAAAGCTGGCACACTAAAAGTTCTATCAGCCCCATCCACTTATGACTGATATTTTTGAACAATTTTTGGGTGATCGAAGCTGCCCTACGTTGTTTTCTTCACAAGACTGTACGTAACTGGCAGAGGGGGAAAATACGCTTTAAAAAATTTACTCGTCGAAGGAGCGTCGGCAACTTACTTAACACTCGCAAAGAAATGGCAGATCTTCAATCGCGAAACGAAGCTTTCGTCATCGTGGAGTCCGGCTTTCTGATTGCTCTGAATATTCTGTCTCTGGGAGGCAACATCATGGTGTGCACAGCCGTGTACAGGAATACAAGACTCCGCACTACTACTAGTAATTACATCCTCGCATTGGCTATCAGCGATCTTTTGAGCGCCATTTTCGCCATGCCGTTTGCAGGGGGAGTGCTCATTTCAGGA